GGTTACTTTTTCACTCTTCTCTGTTTCCGTCTCTGTCTCCAGTGAGTGCACATGCCCTATAGCAGAAGGAACTTATCAACGTGCAATGGTTTAGAAAATCATTGACTGGGGGCAGCAGGTTGCATGGTGGTTAAGGTGCTGGATGCCCACATGGTTGACTACAGTTCGAGTCCCAGAACAGGCTGGAACTGCTTCATGTGTGCATGCATGCCCCAAATCCTAAGAGAATGGAGGAGAAAGGATTGCAGCATGGTCGTCCCTACTGGTGAATGATTTCTCACTTTGTCTCTGGTGAGCACACATGCCCTTTAGCCAAAAGGGGGAGACAAAAAAAAAACACGTTTTTTTTTTTTCTTTTTTGGGGGGGAGAGGTTTTTGCCATAGGGCCCATGCACTCGCCAGACAGAGAGAGAGAGAGAGACAACGAGAAATCACCCCGGGGGCAGGGGGAGGTGTTGGCCATGCCACAATCCCTTCTCCTCCATTATCCTCTCGGGATCTTGGGCATGCACACACATGTGCCCAGCGTGAGTTTTAAGCCACTAGGTCTGGGACACAAACCGTGGTCAACTACATGGGAGTCCAGCGACATAGCCATTATGCAAACTGCTGGACCCCTCCCCCCCAAAAAAAAAAAAAAAACTCTTAAAAAAATCGAAGTTATGTCACTGGACTCCCATATGGCTGATTACATGTGGTTCGAGTTTTAGACCCAGTGGTTTGAAAATCACACCAAGCATCTCACTCCCAGATCCCAGAAGGAGGATGGAGGAAAAGGGATTGTGGACCCGGGAATGGAGAGAGAATTTCTCACTTTCCCTCTCACTGTCTCTGTCTCTGTTGAGTGCACATGTCCTAAGGCAAAAACCTCTAAATCATGTATGTATATATAATTAACTAATCATTATGAACAACAAATTGTGGACTGCTATAAACTAGATGCCTGTGACCTGCTGGTCAACTGAGACTCCTTTCTACCACAGTTTTAAGTAGTACTTGCCTTAGAACTGCGCAAGAAGCACATGTCCTTGATTTCTCTGGCTTAAAAATCAAGAAGGTGTGGTTCTTCACTTGAATCTCCTAGCCCACAGGTACGTGGCCTTCACCAGAAATCCTCAGTGAGCGGCAAGAGTTGGCTCTTCTATGGTGTGAGAACTCGAGCTTCAAAATTTCAGTTGGCTGGGAGGAGTAAGTTCAAGGGCTGTATTGTACAACATGGTGACTAATAAAGTATCGTATCCTTGAAATATCTTTTACACATTCGCAAAAGAAATGGGCAAATGAACAATCAGAAAGGTCAGCAGTAACTTAGTCTGATTCAAACCAAGTGAGCTGAAAAATAAGAGTGAGTTACTGTTTTTGAAAGGCTAATATTCTGAGTGAATGAGTTAATCCTTCATACACCATCACTGTTGCCCTCTCTTTTCCTCCCCCAGGTTCTTTTCCTATGTCGAAGCTTCCTCCTTTCTCTGCCATCCCCTCCTCTGGCCTCTTCTGTGTGTCTGAGTTTTCTCCCCACACCGAGCCTTTTAGGCCTTCCTGCGAGGCCTGCAGTACAGGAGTATAAAGGCACTGGCCTCTTGCCCTAGTTCCACTGCCTTTGTCATTTGGGGCAGGTCACTTACCCCCCCAGGTTCCTCACTGGAGAGTTGCCAACTCAGTTTCCTTTCAGTGTAATAAGAGTTTTGGTTTTTAAATTTTTTTTGATAATTCCCTCCTTTTCTTCCTCAGCCCCCTAAATCACTAGTCATTTATGAGGAGTCTTCAAAAATGTGTATTTCAAAAGAGCTATGCCCGGATTTCAAGATCTTCACTTAAACTCATTCTTTACTCCCAGTTCCCACAAACTATTTGATGTCCCTCATATTTTAGGAATTCTTACCATTTGGTAATTTCTTACGTTTGTAGTTCTTAATTTATAAGCCAGGTAAATGGAACTCTTAATTATCTGGGGAAAAAAATAAAAACTATATTCATATTTAATACTCAATGCCCTTAATTATATTTGTCTAGAGTTTGTGGTCCTAATTATATTAAAATGACAATTTTTTTTTTTTTGGAGAGGTTTTCGCTATAGGGTGCGTGCACTCGCCAGACAGACAGAGAGAGAGAGACATTAGAGATAGAAAGCGAGAAATCACCCCCTGGGGGAATGGCCACACTGCAATC